ACTCTTCCCGCACTGATCACATGTGTACGGGTTCTCTCCAGTGTGAATCCTCTCATGTGTTTTCAGAGCTCCTGAATGAATGAATTTCTTATCACAGTGTGAACACTTGTAAGGTTTCTCTCCAGTGTGGATCCTCTCATGCAGTTTTAAAAAGTTTGCTGTAGTAAAAGTATTCTCACACTCAAAGCACATGTACTCTCTCACACCAGTATGTATTTTCTGATGCACTTTTAAATGTTCTGGACGCGAAAAACTCTTTCCACACAAATTACATGAATGTGGTTTCTCCTTTGTATGAACCCTCATATGGTTTGTAAGGTTTGATTTTAGTGAGAATCTCTTCCCGCACGGATCACATGTGTGCGGTTTCTCTCCAGTGTGGATCATCTCATGTGTTTTCAGATTTGCTGACTGACTGAATCTCTTGTCACAGTGTGAACATGTGTGCGGTTTCTCTCCAGTGTGGATCCTCTCGTGTGTTTTCAGATTTGCTGACTGTCTGAATCTCTTGTCACAGTGTGTACACTTGTAAGGTTTCTCTCCAGTGTGAATCCTCTCGTGCCGTTTTAAATACTTTGCTCTAGTAAAAGTCTTTTCACACTCAAAGCACATGTACTCTCTCACACCAGTATGAATTTTCTGATGTTCTTTCAAATTTTGTCGACGTGAAAACCTCTTTCCACACAAATGACATGAATGTGGTTTCTCCTTTGTATGAACTCTCAGTGCTGCTCTCAAAAATGTTTTCCCACACTGATCACATGCGTACGGTTTCTCTCCAGTGTGAATGTTCATGTGTACCTTAAGGTTTGATGATTGTGAGAAACTCTTCCCGCACTGATCACAAGCGTATGGTTTCTCTCCAGTGTGAACTCTCATGTGAAGCTCAAGATGACGTTTGCATGTCCATCTCTTTCCACACTGAGTGCAGGTGAAAGATTTCTTGGCTCTTCTTTTCTTTAAATCGTTCTGAGTTTGAGAGCAAATCAAAGGTTGGGTTTTTTTCCAGTTCTGAAGAGATGTTTTCCCTCAACTTCACTCAATTCTTCATTCTCCTCACTTTCTTCAGTCAACTCTGAAATAAAAGTAAAAATGGTTTATTTTCATTAACTCATAAAAAATAGAAATGTGAAAAGACATAAACGTGAACCCTGATGTAACAGCAGAAAGTAGACAATTGTTATACATTTTGATGCAGTTTTATAAATACATCACGTACATTTTATATATACATCTCTGAAACTTTTTCATTCATCAATGAATGAGGTACATCGATCTTCAAATTATGATTTTTAAAACATTATAGGTACAAATCCCATGTTTCTATAGAGAGAACTATTAAACATGTTTGGTCAACCACACAAGTTAAATAATTGTGTTGAAAAAAGTACCCAGTTTACAGAAACTGTCTCTTGTTATTTGATTATTTAGCTATATTACTGCATTACTGCAGAGAATTGTCCAATTACAACACAAACACTCTAAAGCTACTTGAAACTGTATAACCGTCAGCATTATTAATGAATTAATGAAGACACCAACCTGTTAGTTCTTCAGTATCTTCAGTGTGTTTGATTCTGCAGGGTTCTGGATCTCTCATCTTCTCTCTGTCCTCTTTAATAAACTCAGTCTTTGCAGATTTCTTCCTGATGATTAGATGCTGGT